TAACTCACGGATTGATTTGTCTGTAACTAACATACTAACTAACTGACATAGGAGTTCACATCAAAGTACAGGCTGGAATTATGTCTTGTTTTTCGGAAGAAAGAAGCTACAACAAAAACTGGTTTCTGCCCCAGGGAGAAAAAAAATGGCATCAGCATTATTTGCCATCCATACGTTATAAATATGAGTTATCATCACAAAATTTCTAACACTGAAACGAATAAAAACTCAAACTAAATGAGCAAACGCACTCCGAAAATTAACTGAAGCTAAACAGCGTTCAAAACAAAAAGTTAAAACGAAATAAATAAAAACATAAAAACATGATATGGAAATACAAAACTATAGTAACTCCAGGTGGCAGTGCTGCATTACATTACAGCATTATACCTTTGAAGAGGCCGCATAAGCCTAATAATACTGCAGAGGGAGGTAACACGTCTGGAACTGTGTATGCGGCCAAAAAAAGGAGAAGAAGAAGAAGAAAAAGCTACACCAGACAGGAAGTGTTTGCTAATAGTCCCATGTGTTGCGCTTCTCCCGGTCATTCATTCGCGAAACAAAAAAATTACGGACTCGTTTTTCATGCATTCAGGCTTAATCGTGTTTTTTTAGGAACCGACTGTGTACTATTAATGAGAGTAATAGTAATAATATTTTCCAAATAAACTAAAAACAAAGCCTGCAGCATTTCTGCAGTAGCACTAGCTAGCTAACGCAGGAGTTGTGTTGTAGAAGTTTAGGAAATCTCATCAACATTTAAAGTGCGGTTTCTGGATGAATAGTTCCGTGGATACTAGCATGGTCAAGGAAAACCGGTGGGACATACCCCCCAATGCTCCAGCGTGCATGGAGAGGCACCTGTGCGCGGCACAATACAGAGCAGGTAGGGAAAAGGAGCGCTAGCTGAAGGTTAACGTGTAAACACGTGGAGCCGCTAGTTGGTTATTATTATTGTGTTCACATTTGTGCTAAACTGTTCAAGTCCTACGTTGAAAATGTTAAATAAATAACATTTTATGTTGAATACCAGTCAGAGTAATCTTAACTGGCAGGCGATGAATGAAAATATAGATGTTTGAAGGGTTTTCTCGTTGGGTTTTCTCCACAGATGGCACCCTGCTACTTGGTGCCTCCAGCCTCTCTGGCAGAAGCTGGCAGGGATCTGTTTGGATCTACAGCGACCCTGACCAGGCCCCCAGTGAGGGATTCTGCAAAGCTGGTGTGCAGACTGAGGCTGGTGTCACAGATGTCAAATGGGTGTCAGAGAAAGGAATTATTGTTGCGTCAGATTCAGGTAATGAAATGTTTTTTTTATGGCAGATGAATCAAGCACGCACTTGAAGCTTGTATGAGACTGGCCTCATTTGTCTGTGCAGGTGCCTTGGAGCTCTGGGAACTGGCAGAGGATGAACGTCTACTGGTTAATCGCTTTACCAAGCATGATCATGACCATATTGTCACTACAGTAAGCCCCGTGGTTGGAGCAACCGCTGCAGTCACTGGCAGCATGGACTGCAGGTTAGACTTGTTTTACATGAACATACATACACCATTCCACCTGTCACAACAGAGCAGAAGCAATGTTAATTGCTTTTGTTTCAAACTTTGGCTTAATTAATTTTTGAGTTGCCCTTGTCATTCCTTAAAGTGCATCTTTGCTTATTATTACAGAATTAAAGTCTGGGATCTAAGTCAGGAAATGGTTGTCACTACCTACAATGGTAAGCATCATCTTAACATTTCTTCATACAGAAATGCACAAAACTTATGAAAATGCTTTTTTTCCCTTAATGTGGAAAAATAAAAGTAAAGTGTTTATTTTTTGTAGCATTCCTGTATGTATAGATTTTAGATTAATTAATTTACCAAGGGTTTTTTTTCTATTGCTGACATTACCAGACTATCCCAGTGTCATATTCCTATTGACTCTTTGGAACGATTAATTGCTGAAGGAAAGTTTTATATTAAAATGGTTTTAAAAAGCCAAAAATGTCATAAATGTCATTGATGTGAAAAGTTTAACTCAACAGTTCTTGGGTTTTTTTCTTCCCCCAGTGCACACACAGCCAGTCACTTGTGTTGCCTGCAGTCCTACAGATGAGTCTCTGTTTCTCTCTTGTAGCCAAGTAAGATACTAATCAGCATGTTGTTTGCATTTTTGGTTTATTTTTTGGACCATAGAGCTGCAATCATTCAGATAAACTCAACTACTTCTTCTTGTCACCTCTTCTTTAGGACGGCCGTGTGTTGTTGTGGGACAGGAGGAAGCCCAACAAACCTGCATCAAGAATAGGTAAGCTACGTCACCAAGCTTTGATAACCACTTTTGCCAAACACTACTGCAAGAATAGTCGAGATTTGGTAGAGCTGCACAGGAAATGAATTATGACAGAGAGTAAAATTTGTTCCAAAACAAACAGTTATGTTTACATATTTATGCCAGTACACACACTATGCAGCAGTCATTCACTCTGCAAATGTATCTGTGTTAAAGTAGGCGTATGTACTAATACCTAGCAGGTAGAGAATATTGCACCTGCAACGGAGATGATTCCTCAAATACGCAGCCATTACCAAAGTAATCAACCCAAATCCAGAGCCTTAACTTTTCCCCCACATTTGAAGACTTTATCTGTCCTCTGAATGATGGATTTTGACACCTCAAAACCCATAAAGATGTGATTTCAGGACCATTGTAGTAGTTTTCAGGTTTGTCCAGGAGTGGCTGCATGGGCAGAAACCACCCTCACTAACTTTAGATCCAGATCCCATCATTTAGTATTATAAGCAGGCCTGAAATATGACAGAAATGGAAGTGCTCCATAATTACCTAATTAGCTACCTAGTGTTTTATTTTTTGTCTGGATAATTAAAGAAGGACTTTGTCTTATTGTTCCTGGAATCTGTTTATAGGCTGTCTTGGAAATATGTCAGTGTCTATGCTGTACAGGATGTCCTGTGTAAGTAATGAGAGATGGCAAGCACATTCTCAGTTTCTGTTTTTGTTTTGTCTCAGATGTAGAGTCACCTAGCTGCTCCCCTACTTCTCTAGCTTGGCACCCTCACCACAGAAGCACCATTGCTTTTGGTAAGACGCTGCACTTAGTCACATTTGATTAAAAGCTGAGTTTAATTGAGAAAAAGTTGATTTCCTTTTTTTCTTTTACATTCTCATCGTGTCTCAGGCGATGAGCTCGGCAGGGTGACTGTGAAAGATTTCCTGGGATCAGAGCCGTCTCAGGTGGAGAACGTTCACAGCCGCAGAGTTAATGGGCTGGCCTTCTCCACACACAGGTAAATGTAAAGTGTGTCACGATCTCACCTTTGGCTTTATTGCTCTTTTACAAAATTCTGACTTCTTCCTTTTCTTCCCAGCACACCCTTGCTAGCCTCTGTTAGTGATGACTGTAGCGTTGCTGTTATGGACTCTGAACTGCGAGAAATGTGAGTACTTGTAATTCATGCTGAAAGCATTTAGTTTGTTGTTCTATTAAAAACGCTAATCACATATTTGTTTGTAGACTCAGAGACCGGCGGCACCAGGACTATGTCAAAGGTGTGAGCTGGCTTCACAATGGTTCCTCCACCCTCACAACAGTAGGCTGGGATCATCTTGTGCTTCACCATAAAGTGGGTCCAGCTGATGGCATTCCCAGTTCCTCTTCTTAGACCCATCAGTTGGAAATGCACTGAAGGAAAGCACTGTTTTCCCCTCACTACTCTCCCCTCATTCCTGAGGTGTGACATTTTGCAGAAAAGAAAATCTATTGAAAGATCTCACCTTAATTTAGCCCCCGAAAACCACACAATATTGGGAATTCTGCTCTCCTAGTCATGGTTTTTGTGCATTACTAACATAGAGAGCATAAAATGGACCTAGTTACCTAGTGATGAGCGTTTCTGCTGTCACCATCTTGGTTGCAAAAAATGGACATGCTACAGAGGGGCAGGTCTGATTTAAAATGCTTAGTCATTGGCTAGTGACGCGATTGACACGTCGTTAGCCACGAAGTGAGCTATTGAAGGGTATAGGATGAATTCTGTAGGAGAGTCTTTTTGCAACCGCAGCTTTCGCCCTTAGGTGGTCTTCACATATTTCTGACCAGATAGCTGCGTCCATATTTTTATACTCTCTATGACTACTAATCACATCACAGCCTCCCTATCCACTTCTTTCATACTGTATAGTTTGTCTTTGTGTAACTGCATCAAAGCAGCACATTTGTATTGCAGAATTTTACATTAAAGGTGTGTTCTTTGTGTTTACTGAGATCAGATATGATAAACTGTTACTACTGTGAGGTAGTGGGAATAAGAGGAGTTTTCAAGGATACACAAAGTGCAGTCAATAAGTTCCTCTTCCCTGAAAAGCCATAAACCTTAACCCCCTCCTTCAAGGTCATGTCCTTATGCACCTCTGCACTGCTTCCAGCACTGCAGCTATTTTGGAGTTGATACTTGGAATTCCTGTTAGGCTTTTAACTTGGAAATTCATTTTGTGGAAAAGGACAGTAATAGAAGGAAATACAACTTGGTTGCAATGGTAGCCCTGGAGAAGCGATGAAGGAAACCATCTTGAGTAGCATAGTAGCTAAATTTAAATTGAGTATGTTTCTTTTTGTTGTTGTTTTCTGCTTTTTATTGGCAGAACTTATTTTATTCGTGGAACTTTTTGATCACATGCCCTGTAAATATAAACCACTGTGTTGGTAAGGGTGTGGCTGACGCAGACCCCAGTCATTCACTAACAGTGTCAATGTGAGGTCTGATGTTGTAGATAATAATGATCTAACTTTTGGTACATTTAAGGCCTTTCATGGAGGTCTGTTAAATTACATGTGCTTTGATATGTTTTGGTTATTTGCATCAACAACAAAAAAACACCTAATAATTAAATCTAAATCTCTTTGTTAGCAGAATCTTGGAATTATTTGGAATTAAGTGCGTGATGCTACTTGGGACAATTCTTAGGAAGGAAAAAAAACTTACACCAGTTCTTCAGCTAGCTTATATCTTACTTTAATACAAAAAAAAAAATATCTGTTTGCACACAAGCTCCTACATGATCTGGAGTTGGCACAGGTTCTTCATGGGGACCTGACGATTCTTGTTTATATAAAATATTATGAGGTCATCATGTTGCCTAGCAGCCACCTGACAATGTGGCACAATGACACATTTGTAGCTTTTATGCACCTACAAGAGCCTTATAAAAGTATTGTATCATTTTAATTTCACAATAGTAACACAATTTATATCCCAAAAACTAAGCATGACATATTACGATGATGTCACACTGTCTAGCAACCACCTAACAACAAACTAAAGCCACAAACTAAACAATACTGTACCCTGGGAATTTACCAGTATATTAAATCTGTACTTACATTCTGAGCCACAGCTAAAAGCTTTAATTACTAGGATGATGCAATTCACTGCAGTGTTTTTACATACAATTGTAGTACACATGCAAGCCATGTGTACTCAGCTATTTGTTACATTTATTTATTTCCTACTTAGAGTTGAATGTCTTAATTTGATGACTTTCTATATACAACTTTAACATGTACATATAACTACATCTTGCAATGCCCAAATGTGATTTTCATATTATACAAATTGATATCTCCATCAATAACAATGTGTACGTAACTAGATTAACACTCTTTATTGTAGTGGTATAGAAAATCCAATACAAACCATAAAGGATTTTTTGGGATAAATGTGAGAATCACACTAGACCCCTACTACTTTGCGCCATAAGACTTTCATAATCGAGATGTAACAGTGAAAGAACATTTCCCATTATTTGGCAGGTAATTACAGCATGAAATAATAACAGTTATGCTCCAAATTACTATATTTTACAATTAAAATTTCTTATTGTTTTATAAAAGACTTTTTAAAAACTTTTGTTAACTTTTTTTTATTTAAATATTAATGGAGTTTTCCTATACAATAACATTACCCAAAGCTAATGTTAAAAAGTCAACATATAGCAAAATATAGCTTAAGACTAAATAATTAGCAGCAACTACACAAATGTTTAAAATGTTCTTTCTGACTGTGACACAATAGAAAAGAAAACACCATTTGACAGTGACTGTGTCGTGTTCGTCTTTATGATTCGGCAGTCCTTTGTCAACAGGCATTCTTAACATATTTGCTACCCAATGTGTAAATAACCTGTGTGAAGCCTTCTTTTTCAGCTGTGGTACACACTGCTGCTGATAAAAGTGTAGTTTCACACACGCTGTGTCCCATAGTCTGTGTTGAAGGTCCCAACATGTCCAAGAATCGAAAGACCCTTAATAATCCCCGCTACTCATGATAAGTAATAGGATTTTTGGTTCCAGGCCGAACTGTGAAAGTCGTACCATGTTGATATTTAGACTTCGGTCCATTGCTGAAAAGAAGAACATTTTATGTATGAATATATTAGCCAACCAGTGAGTTTTGGCATCTTAAAAAGTCAATGTGTGACATTTGAGCATGACAGTCTTACCTGGTCAAAGCTTTTGTTGGCGAGTTATCTGGATATTTTTTGTTCACTTTACGCTGCAGCTCCGTCATGTCCAGAGTTGCTGCTTTCTGGTGATATTTGGTAGTTGGTGATTTGAGCTGGTCATTGGACTCCCATTCATCAGACGAAGGCTCTACATCTTCCTTTTGGTGGGAAATTTTGGGGGCCATTTCCTCCAGCTTCTTTTTTAGGATGCACTGGAGATCAAAATGTCTTTGTTCCAGAGTGCGTGCTGGCTGAGTGGAGTCTGGCTTGGGTTTTGTCTGGACTTGTGTCTTTGGTTGGACATTAGGAGGTGGGTGGTTCAGAGGAGGAGGAGGTGGAATTGAAGAGGGAGGTGCTGTCTTCAGAGGAGGAGGTGGAATTGAAGCTGGAGGTGCTGTATTCAGGGGAGGAGGTGGAACTGAAGCTGGAGGTGCTGTCTTCAGAAGAGGAGGTGGAATTGAAGCTGTAGGTGCTGTCTTCAGAGGAGGAGGTGGAACTGAAGAGGGAGGTGCTGTATTCAGAGGAGGAGGTGGAATTGAAGCTGAAGGTGCTGTCTTCAGAGGAGGAGGTGGAACTGAAGCTGGAGGTGCTGTCTTCAGAGGAGGAGGTGGAATTGAAGCTGTAGGTGCTATCTTCAGAGGAGGAGGTGGAACTGAAGCTGGAGGTGCTGTCTTCAGAGGAGGAGGTTGAATTGAAGCTGGAGGTGCTGTCTTCAGAGGAGGAGGTGGAACTGAAGAGGGAAGACTTGCAGAGGGTTGTGTCTTATTCAAAGGATACTGAACTGAGGCAGGAGAAAGAGAGGTTACAGGTGGTGACGGTGCCTTTTTTGTGGGAGGGTCCGGTGGAATGATGGAAGGTGGCAGGTCCATAATCTTGCTTAAATCATCAAACTCTGGTGGTGGAGGTAATAGTAATGGCATGCTGAACCCATCTTTATTGCCCTCAGGTTGTGGAGTCTGAGACAGTGAGCTGCTTTGATATGCATTTTGCTCTGCTTTTTTGCTAACAGCAGGGGTTTCTATGATCCTGTTGAGAGCTGGACTGGTAGATGGTGCCTGACCATTGACCAGGGCATGACTGCTTGAAGTTTCAGGAGCATCATTTGTTTGTGGACGGTCTACTGGACTGAAGGATTTTGGAGTCTCTGGTAATATTTTTTCTGTCAATTTTACAGCTGAAGAGCCAGAACTTGAAAGGTCACTTGAGTGAATACTTGGCTGCTCATTGTTCTTTCCACTGTTTTCCTGTGAAACAGAGTGTGTCGTTCTGTTTTTCTCTCTTTCTTTAGCTGCCTTTAGAAGAGCCAGCGGAGAAGCTGCATGCCCGTCTCGTGCTCCGTGGGTTTCACTTCCTTTCAGGTTACGTAGTTTGTGATCCAATATCGGACTGTATTTTTGGTTTGGATTTTGATACCGTACAGGTTTGACTGGGGTTGGACTTTGGTACTCTCCAGGTTTGACTGGGGCTGGACTTTGGTACTCTCCAGGTTTGACTGGGGCTGGACTTTGGTACTCTCCAGGTTTGACTGGGGCTGGACTTTGGTACTCTCTAGGATTTTCTGCTTTTGGACTTTCTGCTTTTGGACTTTGGTGCTCTCCAAGTTTGTCCTTGCTTGTCTCTAAATTAATCTGAGTATTGTCAACTTTATCAAGCTGTAGAGACTTCTGAGGCGGTGGCTGTACTGGTTTGGTTATTTCTGGTTGCACTGAAATTGTCTCTGTTTTAGCCTTTGTCTTAGTCTCTGTCTTAGTCACTGTCTTTTGCTCAAATGGGGTAGATTCAGAAGGTTGGGCAACTTGTAAATTCTCCTCCAGCTCCTTTACAATGGGAACTGGTTTAGATAGTGTAGGCACTTTGGGAGCATTACCGTCCACCTTGACGAGAACAGGGCCAGAGCTGGAAGACCCGGAATCTTCCAGGAGTAACATGTGCTTAGGTTTTTTGTCACGGTCTTCAAACACATTGAGAAATGAGGTCTTAGGAGCAGTGTTAACTTTTGCTGTGTTTTGGGGGTTGAAGGTGGACAATGTGGGTGTCTGCACAGGGGGTGGTGGTGCAGGAGTCTGTGGGGGGGAGTCAGAGTTGGAGACTGAAGAAATTCTAATGGGCTTTGGAGGAGGTTTCTTCTGAGTCTTCTGTTGCCTTTCAGTAGGGGGCTGTGGGGCGGCAAATTTTGGATGCTCTGGAACTTGAGCTGATGTTGGACTAGAGATGGGTATGGATGATGGAGAGCCAGTAGAAGTGGTAGATGGAGGCTTTGGTGGAGCCATTGCTGGTGGTTTTAGGAAAGATAAATCCTTTGGTTCTACTGAAGGAGGGTTTGGTGCGGGCATGGAAGGAGGCTGTATGGTTGCTAGGTTTAGAGTGTTTAAGTCACCCAGGAAGTCTGGTGGAGGTGGAATCCATTCACTTGGAGGTGGTGGAGGTGCTACAGAAGGAGGAGGAGGAACAAATATTTCCCCTTTATCAAGGTTAGGCACTGAAATAATGGAGCCATTGGACAACGGATCACAACCAACTGTGGATGAGAAGACAGGAAAAATGAGAAAAGTTTTTGCAGAAACAGATACAGTATTCAAATATGCAAACTTGCTGCATAAATAAGAGACTGAAATTGAAATCCTTCTGTTTCATTTAAAGAGTGCAATTCATTTGTGCATATAATATGCAATAAAAAGAATATTATTAAAAGAGGCAGAAAAGATTATAAAGAATAAGGAAATTCTTTATAAAGCTTTAAATTCAGCTTTCTTACATAAATTTAGAATTGTTAAAAAAGGAAACAAAAGAAGTAAATGGTTTCCACTTATTGAGAATGCTAACACTCCCATTATGTAAATATATTTGGCGTCTGGTATGACCGTTTGGACATTTTCAGGGGGAGTTATTGAGCAATGCCCGAGCAAACATTAACCTGCCCTCCTTTTTTTCCTCTTTATTTTGATTGCTGTGATCCATCAACCGAGTCTGAGCAAAAGCCCCTCAAGTTATGTGGACTTTTTAGGGTCTAATTAATGGGATTCTTGCCTTTTAATCAAGTTAAACCTAAAGTACATATTGCAAGGTAGCTAGATGCTCACCTGAACCGTTGGTCTTTGGACCATTGACAGGGGGCAGGAGAGGGACTTTCGGCATTGGGACAGCAAAGCCTTGGAAACTCTCAGACAAGGACTGCGAGGGAAGAAAATTAAACACCATCAGACTTGATTTTTCAAACCCCTTAACACAAGAGACAAAGATCAACAGTAAAATTGAGATAAGGCTACATACTGTAGCCTGTATGTACAGAGATTTTTGTCTGGCAAGTATTTGGTCTTGAGGTGCACAAACCAGTTCTCAACTATATCAGCTCTCAGTGTTCCTTGAAAACAGGTTGGCCTGTCCAATGCTTGCAGCATTTTTAGCGTCAGCAGAACAGAAGTAGCTGCCAAAATCATTTCAATGTGCTGTTACGTGAAAATTCTATGATGATGGTTTACAGTGCCTTATGTTCACAAAATTAAGTACTAAATATGTCAGACTGCTTTACAGCAACTTGGGTACATGTATAACCTTTAGGCTTCTTCAACATAAAACAGCTAGAGGTTTAAAAAAAGAAAAGAAAACACGTTTGCATACTTGAGTGATGAGAAATATTTGGTGAATCAGAGGATACACCTATTATTCATCACATTGTCTAAGATGGGCCTGGCTGACAAAACTGCGTGTTACTTAGATACATGGGTGTTTTATGTTGTAGGCAAGAGGGGCAAAATAGAGGAAGAGTTATGGAAAGTAAGTTGCTGTTCTCTCTACGACACCAAATAAATAGAGACTGTGTTGACACAATACAAATCCAAGAGACGTGGAAAGTTATATGTCCTTCAAATGGGCAGGTATTCAGTCCAGGAATACATAACAGCTGTATCCTTTTGATCTTAGTCTGCTGGAGACCATTTGAGGAGGAAAACAACAAGGAAATTTTTAACTGGACTCAATTTATGCCCTAAGAGCTCCCCTTATACCACAATGTATGCAGTAATGAATTAAATCAGCATCAATAGATAAGAATAAAAATCTTCAGTTTCAGGCAGCTGCCGTCCTAAAAGATAAATCACACCTTGAATAACACCCTCTTTTGCTAATAATCCCAGTTGCGTAGCTATTTGGAAAGGTATGAAAACTGCTTCACGGAGCGAGGGCGTGCCATTAAAGACAGCGTATGATCCAGTTTGATTCCATCTCGCCTTTTCTCCACGCTATGACTCACGTTCATCTGTCGCAGCGCTCAGAGCTGTCCTGCCCATGTGCTGCAGGGTGTGCCGCATCCACATGCCACAGACACATTCACAGAACACTCCCAGAAAACACTGAGCTGAGGTGTGTGAACCAAGTGCTCAGATGAGCTTTGCATTTTTGTCTGCACCATGACAATGCGATGGGAGACGTGTGGTCAAGATGAATTGTTCCAAACTTCAAAACTTAACGAAATGTTTTAATAGAACAGTACTAAAAAAATATATTATAAGCAAAAGTGGTGCATCTTAAATAATTTGCAGGAAGTCTCATATAAAGGACCCAAACTGGTCACTTTTATCTTTATCTAGACATATTTAATCAATAAGCTTATTGCATTTTTTAAAAACAAAATCTTGCCACGTCAGTTAGCTAGTAATTGGAAGGTAAAGTAGTAGTATCAAATGTGAAGTGAACCACAAGCTTTAAGTACAAGACTAAATTGTAATTGACTTGCTCTAATGTCTTATGGCAACTTTGGCAGCTGTAGCTTTTGTGCGCAGTGTGATGTGACCTGCAGAAGATCATTGATCATGTTTTCTGCAAATTACCTGTTGGGACAGCATCGCTGTGAGATGTGTCGTTTTTTATAGTCATATTGCATGTCATTCTAAAAAAAAGAAATGAGCATTATCACTCCCACATGAGATACTGGAAGAAAATAAGTCGAGATCTCTCTGTGAAGACTTTTACTGTGCGGACCACGTCACACATCAGACTGCACGAGTAAATAAACTCTTTAAACACTAAACTGTCAGCTATCAGTTCATTTGCATCTGCAGGCGCAGGGTTTGAGACTGAATAAAATGGTGGAGCTGTTCACATGCAAATCTTATTCATTAAATTCCATTTTATGTAGTGTCAAATCACAACAGTTGCCCCAAAGGGCTTTACATTGTAAGGTAAAGACCTGACAATAATACAGGGAAAACCCCAGTAATCAGATGACCCCCTATTAGCAAGTAGTTGGTGTCAGTGGGAAGGAAAAACTCCATTTTAACAGGAAGAAGCCTCTGGCAGGCTCAGGGAGAGGCAGCCATCTGCTGTGACCGGTTATGGTGAGGGTAGAGAGACAGGAGACACGTAAAACATGTCATTTCAATTTCAGAAACTGGGTAATGAACGTAAAAATTGATGTGAACCACATGGTTTCACAGAGATACTCACAGCACCATGCTTCACTGTGGGTCTAGCTCGCACGCTCGCAGTCCCTGACTCAGGAGTTGCAGATGACCCCAGGACCAACTCTACATTGTCTGTGAAAAAGAAAAAAGATCATTAATATCCAGCGGGCCTCTGGTAGCAAAGCAAGTTCAATTGAATTGATTCAGCTATTAAATTTCTAATCAAATCTCCATCATTAATCTGCCAGTCAAGGCCAAAACAATGAGGTTGTACACTTGCAGTGTGCAGGTAATGAGATACTGTGTGCATCCAAGTGTCCTCTAAGTAGTTGTCAGTCAGCCTAATAATCTGCTGTGTGGCCGTTGGTTGTTGACAACAAAATAGCTATGCACAACTGAGCCGATGATTGCAGTCTTTATTTAAAGTCCACCATTGTGTTTAAGTGAAAACAGTTATGGTGCCAACTGAAATCCATTGCACCACCTTCTGCTTGCTGTACAACACCACAATGTTTATCATATAGCCAGACGTAAATAGTTTATCTGTCGCAAAGCCTGGAAGAATGAATTCAAGGTTTATTCTTGGGAAAAAAAATGCTTTAACTGTGTTCACTCTTTGGGAGGAGCTTCATAACATGCAGCCAAATGGTGCTGCTTTTATGTTGCATAACCCTTTGTTCTTTAAACAAACAGTGCCACACAATGATCGTCCATTCTTAAGTCAAAGTGGTTAAGAGACCAGTCACATTTGTCTTTCATGTCAGTGGAAAAGCCTGGTTTTTCTGTATGTATCTATGTCACGGGATGACACAAGACACTCAATGATGACTTAAAAGTGCACCGAGGCAGAGACCCGAAACATGACCATAGTCATTTTTAGATATGGAAGACAAGCAATAACATTCCTGGGAAACGGATGATTTGAGAACGTAAACTTAGAAGTCACACATTCCTTTGTTCCAGTATGACATTGACTGCTGAAAGACACTTGCCACTTGAAGATTCTTAATCTATGTGTTCATTTAGCTTTCTATTACAAAAGAATCAGCGTGACAGAGGAGCCTGTCATAATAGACAAGGAAAGGGAACTGTTTTCCCACCTATTCCCAGTAGTCACAGGGTGTAGGTCCTCATAGCTTTTATGCACTTTTGTGTCATTTCAGGAAAATGTGGGAACTACAGAATGAATTGGCTGTGGTATTAAACCAGTCTAAGCAAAGGATTAGTTTTTCCTATTGCGCCCCTTTCTGATTTAAATAGGCAAATGATCTCTCCTGTGTTGAAGCTTTGCATAGAAATTGTCCTCTCCTTTTCTGCTTTTGCTAGTCAAATGGCACTAATGTCACTTAGAGCTTATCAGTAAACTGATATCAGTGTGTGAAAGTAATATTTTTATTATTAAGCAATTAAGTTGTGTTTCCTTTTTTAAGGCTTTAAACTGCATCACACACTCTTGCTCAGCAGATGGAGCTTGCCCAGCTGTTGTACTATGGAAATATGCTATTATGCATTGTTGTGGCCAGAAGAGTGAATTTGTTTGTGTCAGGTAAATAAAAGTAACAGATTTCTGTTTTCATCTATAACACCGTGGATTGTATGTCTAAGAGTAGCCGGCTCATGTGAAATACACCCAAGGTACAGATTTAGCTATTCTAGACGAAATCTTAACTTGGATCAAAGTGAACACAGTCTGAAGAGGACCCAGACTCTTCAAGTGGGGTCATTCACATTAAAAATATGAATTTACTTTTGTTAAAAACACCGAACAAATTTTCCTAGATGACACCTGCTGCTACTTGTTTAAAGCACCTGAAGGATTCACTCCTGTCAGCACGTCTAAAGTTTGGAGCTTGGTGGAAACATATGTGTCCTGTTGCAACACCAAGTCCAAAGGTCGTGCTGCTCTTCACTGTAGGCGTAAATACCTGCTCTTATAAACAGACCGCACTGTAAGACTCTACTCACCCATCTCCTGCATTTTGACATTGGTGTCGAAAAGAGAATGATTCTTTCGACCCAGAAAATTCAGCGACCCCTTCTTCATTGTTATTGATTAGTTGATGCGTAGCTACGATTCTCGGCTTCAGCGGATCATTGGCGCATTCTCGCCGGCAGGTAAATCCGGGATAAACCGCAAACGTGCTGCTCTGAATGACGGCGTTTCTCCAGGTACACCTGACTCCAGTGATTTGGTGCAAACTTCTCGGACAGACAGAGAAAATGGAGCAAACCCCGCCCACTCGCCTTTCATTGTGCCTCCCTGTTTCTGACTGTACTCTCCCAACAACAGCAGCAGCAGGTGAGGCTCTCGGCTCTCCTTACATTCCAGCGCAAACCTCACCTGTGGAAAGAATCAGGTCCTTTAATCACAGGTTTGCTTACGTTAATGGCCTGTACTCTCACTGTTTGATGAGTCTGCCATCCGCATCCGAGCTTTAGCGCACTGGTCTACCTATATCTCTAAATATGGGGCGAAGTGATCACATTAAAATGCTCAGGAACGCGGGTCTTAATCTTAATCAAAAAAGACAACAAGGGTTTATTGCATGTAGGTCACTGCTATTATGGTCATAAATGTAAACAAAGAGCAAAATAAAACAAAGCATTTGAAAATGTCAAAACATTTTAGTATCCTATTTTTTTAATTTTTTTTTTGCTTATGCTTAAAAATTTGATCCAAGAAATGTATAAACCTAATAATCAGATTGTAACGTGTGCTTGATTAAATCATTCAAAATGAATTAAAAGCCACAACATTAAATAAACTGGTTCTCTGTAAGGATGTAGACTAATACTGAAAGGGCTCTTTCTATCTCCCGGTGATTTTACATTTAATAGAGTACATTTTGCTGATTGCACTTTTGGTTGAGTACCATTTCACCTGTTGCTGCTTTTATGTACATGATTAATTATTTCCCTATCTGTGTGTCTTGCATGTGCACCTAAAACAATTGTTATGATATAGTTTAAAGTCTGAAGAATAAAATAAAACCAATTATCAAAGTAAAACCATTGTTTATTGTAACCTTCCTTTTTAGTTCAAAAATTCTAGAAGAGCAGCTACTAAAAAGTTAGGCCTAACTGACTATTTACAAAGGAATGGTTTATTTGAAGAGTTTCACAGAAACTAGTGAAGGTTACAAATGATCTTTTTACAGCCTTTTATAATGGACTCATCTCTGTGCTTGCCCTGGTAGGTCTCAGTGCAGTGTTCAGTACCAGTACTGACCATCAAACGCTACTACAGAGATTAGAACACACACTTGGTATTAAAGGAACTGCGCTGCAGTGGCCTGAATTATATCTGGCTGATAGATAACTATATACGTTTTCATGGCTATGCAGATGATATCCAGCTTTATCTATGCATGAAGTTTCGTCTTGATGCATTCTCAATCATCCAGGAAAGTAAATCTCCAAAAAGTTGATTCTGTTCATCTGGACATAGCGTTTTGTGGGAGAAACGTTTTGTCACTCATCCAAGTGACTTCTTCAGTCTCAGCTGACTGCAGGTTTCCCCAATCTTATAAACAGTACATTTGCATAATGACTGAAAGGAACAATGAGCTGGGAGGTCAGTTCCTTAATCTTAATTATGCAAATTCTCATGACCATTGATCAACAACCACTGACCAAAACCCACTGATCAAAGACCACTGATCAATGGCCATGAGACGAAACGTTTCTCCCACAAAACGCTACGTCCAGATGAACAGAATCAACTTTTTGGAGATATGCATGAAGTTGATACACATCAACTAATTAAACTTCAGGCCTGTCTTGAAAACATAAAAACCTTGATAGCCTATAATTTCCTGCTTCTAAATTTAAACAAAACTGAGGTCGCTGTACTCTGCCTTACTTTAAAAAATATTACCTTTGCCTTCAATACCACTGTGAGGAATCTTGGAGTAATTTATGACCAGGATATTTGGTTCAGTGAGCACATTATACAAATATGTAGAACTGCCTTCATTCTTTTGCGCAGTATGTCTAAAATTAGAAACATCCTGTCTCAGAGGGATGCTGAAAAACTAGTTTATGTATTTATTACTGGTAGGCTGAACAATTGTTGATTATTCTCCCATATTGACTTTACTTCACTACTGGATTTCTCTTACATTCAGAATCAAATTTAGAATCCTTGTCTTTAGATAAAAATTCTTGAATAATCAGGTGCCATCATATCTTAAAGACCTCATAGTAGCTTATTATCCTCTGGCTGTCCCTCTCTGATCCTGGTAAAAGGGAGATTATTCTCCCCACTGTCACCAAGTGCTTGCTCATAGGGGCTTGTCTAATTGCTCTGTTAGCAGGGGTGTCAAAATCATTTTACATTGTAGGCCACATACAGCGCATTATGATCTCATGTGAGCCGGACCAGTGAAACTCTTCTTTCTGCCAGTGTACAGAAATTTAAGCAGATATCCCTAAGATATCTTAATATAAAAAAGAAGTCCTATTTACTTTTTCATTCCTTCCATTCCTTCCTTTTTTTCAAGATTCAAAGATTCAAAGTGTTTATTGTGATGTGTACAGAAGAAATAGCATTTCTCTGTGCAATGAAATTCTTTCTTTGCTGTCCATACACAAATGCCCAGTTAGGTGGGGTTGAAGGAACAACATAAATAAGGTTAAAAAAATAAGACAAGATATTAAGATAAATAAGGTAAAAAAAAAAAAAAAAGGATAAAAAATAGTGAAAGATAAATAAATAAGTAAAAAAATAAGTAAATGAAGACAAGTGAGTTAAGCAGTTGTCAATGTCAAAGGATATACAAAGGAGCTTAATGTGCAAATTGTCCTGATGTGCAAATTGCAGTTGAGGTAGGTCAGCTGTTCAGGAGTCTGATAGCAATGGGGAAGAAATAAAATAAATCTGTCAGCACAACGTTTTGGACTTAAATTGTAAGAATAATTTTTACTACATAAATAAAACCAAACTGCACTGAACTGAAATCATGAATTAATTTCTTCATTCCTGTTTCAGTCACATCACATCACACAGGTGATACAGTCAGAGAGTGACTGAAGAAAGACATTTGTCACTTAAAGATTCTTACTCTATGTGTTCATTCAGCTTTCTGTTAGACAAGCTGAGACAGGAACCAGAGTGACAGAGGAGCCTGCCATAAAAAACAAGGAAAGAAAAACATATTTCCATCACTAGGTATAGGCATCATAATGTCCTCATAGTTTCCACTTCGAAGCAAAAATGTGTCACATGTGATTTACAGGTAGACCTAAAATACATTTCTGACATAGAAATATAAAACAAACATTATTAAAGAACAACATAAATCACAGTAATTGAAGTTTTGAAAATGCTATGGTGTGTGGAAGCTAAAATAAAGTCTTCTTGGAAAACATTAGAAAAACTTCAAGCAAAGATATGATGGTGCTGTAACGTGTTGTAAAAGTAATCAGCTTTTTCTCTCCATTAATGTATGCAAGGTGCTTGAACAAAACAAATCACAAGAGTTATATTCAACCCTCTGGGTAATTGTTCAGTTAGCTATTAGCTCATGTTGGAACATTACATTTGTGTGATAAATGCATGTTTTTAATCTTAAATAAATCTTTGATATTACTGAAGGAAAGCCTTCATTCCTTGGTGTGACTTTCTTAAGGATAGTGAAGGATGAGAAACGTGGAAGCAGGATACTCATAAATTTGATTTTGGCTAAAATGGATCAAAAATCTTAAACAGATGAGCTAACCCCTTAAAGTAACCCTGTAACAGCATTTTATCTACTCTGCATCACAGTTTAACAACCTGTGGGTATTTGGGGTTGATTACAGCTGGTAGCAGAGTAATAATTTGTAGAAGTATGTTTCCTTACACTGATATTCAGTTTTATAAAACACTTTATACTTTTTACTTTGAATTTCGTAACATTTTAGAAGGATTTAATTTGTGATGCTCATATATTCAATTCAATATTGTTATTAATATACTGTGTTATCAGTATATTAATAATGTACTTGATTGGTCTAAAGTACATTATAGTAAACTAAACCTTTCACTTCAGTAAGCTTAAAAATGGAGAAATTATCATGAGTAAACATGAAATTCTTGATAAAAATATTCTGATTTTCTGACAATAGTGTTGAGATAAAGTTTAGGCCTTCAGTTTGTCCGAGCATTACAATAACTAAGTACATGATGTGGTTTAAAATTAACATTTTATTTTCATATCATCCAGCAACAGACACAGTTAGATACATTAATTTTTTGGACAATGATACATTTTTCTGTGCACCACCACAGTGGATTTTAGACCAGATAATCAATATCTAATTGGAGTGCCGACTTTCAGCTTTAATTCAGTGGGTTTAAATTTCTGAGTTAACTATTGGAGATACATCGTTCTCCAATTTCAGAGACTCAGAAGTAGAATTAAGCAATAAACTGTTTCAAGGTCAAGTAAAGCCTGCTTACTTGTTATTTCAAACTAACTAATCAGATAAAAGATCTGGAGTTGATTTCAGGTCTTGAACTTTCATTTGCTATTGTTAACTGGAATTCTAAACATGCGGTCCAAAGACATGTCCATGTAAGTAAAGAAAGCCATCATTAGGCTGAAGAAACAAAATAAACCAGTCTGAGAAACAAAAAAAGGAGTGGCCAAATCAGCAGTCATGTACACTCTTAAATGGAACCAGTGGAGCAAGGTCATTAGCGTTCATTAATCATGTGACTGCTGATAGACGTAGCAGGGTGGATTGTGAAGTATACAGGGTTATACTCTCTGCTCAAATTCAGCCAACTGCCACAAAACTGTTCAGAGAGCATTTCGCAGTGTGAGTGGATGATGACACAAAAGGCACAAAAGAAATAGTTTCACAGGGCAAAGAAATGGGATATTCTTCAGTGGCCAAGTCGGCTATCTGATTCCAGCCCCAAAGAGCGTGCTTTTTATTTATTAGATTCAAAACTGAATGCAGCAGCTGAAGGTAGCTGCAGTAAAAGGCCTAACGGAGCATCTCAGTGAAGGAAACACAGCACTTGGTAATGTCCATGGGTTCTACGGACCTTACATTTAAAACTACTTCAGGTTGTCCACATCATTTTGTGCTTCTAAAAACAGGAGACTGTATATGAAAATAGAGTCCAACACTTGGCTGTGTTTTGTTGTTGCTGATTCCTTTCACTGTTTGATATGTTTTCTGGTGTTTTTGTGTTAAGATTTAGCTGCTGA